TAATATTTTGATGCGTGGAGGGCACGCCACGTCATGCCCATGAGGATATGGTGTCTCGGGACTTTCGAGGTCGAGGAATAAGGATCGTTGGACATTTGAGCCTGACAGCTGAGCGCCCTGCGCTATCAGGAAGGAAAGGAAGTAGAATATATTCGCACGCAGGGTCCGTGGCGTCTGCACGACTAAAGTACATATACTAGCTTGAGCACGTTTTGTTGAAAGGTGAGTGGAAGTCGACCAGTGGCACCGTTGAAGAGTCACGGAAAGGGTCAAAAGGGCTATCGAATCTTTTCCGCGTCGCTGTGGCTCTATAATTGGTTCCCGAGTTGTGTGTCGACTGCCGGTATTTCGGAAAAAAAAAGTTGAAATAGGTAATATTTTTCATTTAATGGCACTGACTGGTGACCTGACCTTTGACCTAAAAAATGAATGACATATTTTCGTCCTTATTTTGGACGTTCTTTCGAATGCCGTTTACTGCTTGTCACTACTTGACCCAGGATCAGAGTTAAAAGAGCGGGGTGTTAGACCCCCCCCCCCCCTCCCCCAGCAGGGCGTGGAAATCGAGGACCCTCAGCGGGGCGCGGGATAGAATAGACACTAGTCGACAACCAAATAAGCCTGTTTTCCTTCGGACGACAACCACCGAATCGCTTTTTTCAGCCCTGGCCCCCTGGAGTTCTCGCCCCTGTGCAAATTTGGTTGCTCTAGGTCAATATTTAGGGGGGTTTTGGGGGGTATAAATGTAAAAATTTCGCTAAAAACAGGTGAAAAGTTTTTTCGCTTATAACTTTTAATCTAATTAACCCTCGCCCGCACATGGGGGGGGGGGTGGTTGCCACCCCCCCCCCCCAGGTAGTCTTTCTGCTCTGCACTCAACATTTTTAGAGCTAGAAGGCTGATTTTTCGTATAGCTGCTCCTCTATCCTTTCTTGATGTCCACTGAAAATTCCAAGTTTCTGTGATTTTTGGTTTCGGAGATATGATCTTGTTTTTCAGGTCATGTCATGACCCAAATGGCCAATTCTCAGCATTTTGCGTTTGCCATGGGCCTTGTGAGCTTTTGGCACCCTGATTTCGGCCTTTTTTGCCAGTCTTACCTCCCACCTATCATGGAACACGTTGTTCGACGATGTGCAGGGGTCAAGGTCAGGGTCAAGGTCAACCTAGGTCATCTAAGATAATTGCGTTTTAGGCAAGCTGAAGTTACTTTTTGTGAAGTTTTTTGACTGTATTTTTGGTAAAAGCTTCTCAGATCATGATTTCATGTAATATGGACCCAAAAACAATCGGTGCGCACATCAGTATAAACACAGACACACACAGACATACAAACACATATAATTGACCTTGACCTAACTTGACCTGAAATGACCTCAGCAGCAAAATTATGGTCGGGTAGTGTGACAAAGAGGTTCTAGCTGGCTTGGCACCAGAAAACAGCATCGTCATCGGTATTTGATAAGCAGCGCACTTGATATCCAACGGTGACCCAAAACAGCAACATTTTTTAGTTTGACCTGACCTGGAAGGTCAATGACTGACCTGAGAAGGTAAAACTGGGTATCATTAGATTTGTCTCTTCCCAAAGAATCTTTTTGGTGTTTACCGCTAAGCTCTATCTCCAACAGGAACGAAATGGCGCGGGGGGGGGGGGTGGCAACCACCCCATGTGCGTTCTAGGATGGGAAAATGGCATGTGCGGGCGAGGGTTAAGATAGAGAAAAAGGAAAGCACCAGTGAACTCAGCACGTCAAGGCGCGTCGAATGATATACTTTTTTGCTTGCTTAAGTGTACTTACAGTTTTTCTTAATTTTTCAGTAAACTTTAATTAATTAATTAAGTTCAAGTTAACTAAATTGCATCATGTTGCATACCAATCGATTCGGCTGATCACCAGGAACACAATGACATCATTTTTTAAGCTCTAGCGTCATTATGTGCAAAGTTATTGGCAAAAACGTCATTTGACCTCAGTTGAACTCATTTGACCTGACCCATGGATAAATACACTAAACAAAGGAGCACCAAGTGACCTGCGGTTAATTTCTATGGTTTCAAAGCACAAAAGGGATAGAACGAAGCGGATATCGCCAGTAGTTTTCGAATTTAGTACCTATTTTCCCATAGGCTTAACATTACGACGTAATGACCTCTAACTGACCTCAGGTCAGTGACATCAAAAACCCGAACTATATGTTATACAACTCGGTGTACTTAGCACATCCTGAAAGTTTGAAGGAAATCCGTCCAAAACTGTGAGTTGGACAGGTGCAAAAAGAAAATTGAAATTTGACCATGACCTTGTACCGGTTTTTCTGACCGGTCACCCGGACTTGAAATTTTCAGGTCATATGTAAAATGGTTGTCCCATAGGCTGTGCCAAATTTAGCGCAGCGCCGCCGTTTTTACGCTATCTTCGAAAAACCTTAAGGGGGTTGCATCAACCCCCCCCCCCTGCCAGGGCGAGGGTTAAGTTTGATGCATCGGAAATGAAGAAATACTCAAAGAGTTCCAGAAAGGTATGGAATTTCAGCAAACTTGGTTGTGTCAGCAATTGGGTCTGGTAGGTGGGGGTAATGGCCCTGCCTGGCGCCTAAAAGGAGGCACAACCCCAAACGACCTGCCCGACCACTGCCCTAGAAGACCCGTGAACGGCGAAACATCTTATCTTTGACCTGACCTGTGACGTCATAGGTGACCCCGAGGTCAATGAAATTGGGGCTCGCGCGACAAATTTGGCAGGGCTATCGAACGCCGTTTAGGTTTTACGGATCCGCCCAGTAATTTCGGAGATACGAGGGAGGGGGGGGGGGTAAAAATGCCCAAAATGCCCAAAATCCATAATAATTGAAATGGACTTAACCCGCGCCCCACTGGGGTCTGCGTATAACAGCCCTACTGGGGGGGGGGCTCTTCATAGCCCCCCCCCCCCTCCTAACTCCGAAACTACTGGGCCGATCGTCAAAATTCAAAGGGCGTCTTATAGCCCCGGAAAAACTGTCCAGCGAAACAAATTTCATTGACCTCGAGGTCACCGATGACGTCACAGGTCAGGTCAAAGTAAAAATTATTAGCATTTTGGCTTGTTCACGTTTTGGGCTCCGGCCGCCGTCTTACAAGTCAGATCAGGCTCATTTTTGGTTCACACACTCGTGAACACATCCTCTTAGATACCCTGAGGTTACCAAACTTGTACTTTGATTTTCAGGTCAAGGTCAGGTCATCACAGGTCACGAAAGTATTATATCATGCGTCGGTCACGTGACACATGTTTTATGGTCCATTTAGGCCAAAGATTTCGAAATTGATGTCGTCTGTGTCATTCGAGGTCATTTTAAGTCGAATTTAGCTTAGGTCAGGTCACTTTCAGGTCAAAAAAGGTCAAATTTTGGTTAAAATTTTTCAACAAAAAAGGTGTCTATTGGATGCAGTTTGAGCTCAGGAACACGATGGTGCTATTTATATTGGCGTACGAAGTCAAATACGCACTGAAAAAATTGATTTGAAAAATTAATAATTGTGAATTTTTTGCAATAATGCGTACCTATAACTTGGCCATTTTTGAAGATATTTAGCTAAAACTTGCTAGAGTTAGTCATAATAATGCGTTCTATCACATATATTCCGTTTTTTCGAAAAGTCAAAAACTTTTTCAAAGAAATGTAAAAATATAAATTTTGATTTTTTATATTAAATTTTCAAAATTTTCAAAATTTCGAAAATCCGAGATGGCAGTTTGATAGCGCAGTCTATTCTGAGTCCTCTCATGCAAAGAAATTGGATCTAGCTTAAAAACTGAGCTCTTGGGAGCGATTGCCGTGGTTCAATGTTTTGCGTCGAAATCGGCCGAACATGACGTCACTCTGACGTCATTTTCGGCCGACCTATGGTAGCTACGACGTTCATATTTTGACACAAGGTGTCAAATTGATGCAGAAGAAGGTACTGAAAGTTTGGCGTCGATACATCAAGCAGTTTGGAAGTTATTGCAGAAAAACGGGAGGGGGGGCTATGAATAGCCCCCCCCCCAGTGGGGCGCGGGTTAATTTGACATTTGATGACCTCTGGTTACCTGACCTTTGACCTGACCTGAAAAAATGACCGAAGTGTTTTCTTCTTCTTCTTTTTTGACGCTCTTCCGATTGTCGCTTACTGCGTGTCACTACGTGGACCAGGAGCCGAGTTAGACGGGGGGGGGCGTAAAAACGCCCCCCCCCCCAGCACTCGGCGGAAAGTTCAGGCCACCAGCACGCGCGCGGGCTAACCTGCGCACGCACAGTGACGTCTCGCGTCACAGAGGAAAACAAAGTTTATGGCAGAAACCATAGCTGAACGTTTGAAAGGTTTGAATCTTGAAAATCGGCCCGAAAAGTTTCGGGCATAGCGCGGCGACGACGCGCCTCCCTAAAGCCCGTCTCCCTCACCCATCACGCAAGCAGAGTTCGGCGGTAGTTAGTCCAACGCGGAGCCAGTCAATTGCCTTCTAAAAAGCCTGACAGATGAGATGAGATGAGAGAGAGAGAGAGAGAGAGAGAGAGAGAGAGAGAGAGAGAGAGAGAGAGAGAGAGAGAGAGAGAGAGGGGGGGGGGGTGCAATATGCTGTGCACTGGGCTGACAGGTTATCTGAAATATTTTCATAATGAAGTTCAGACAGATGGCTAACGGATAAAGGGATCAACCAAACTAAACCCTTACCGCGGCCGGCAGACCAATCTTCGCTATCTGACAGATAGCTATGTTGGTTGATGATAGGATAAGGTTTTATTGGGGTTTATTGGCCACCAAGTGTGACAGAAGTAAATATGTAGAAATAATGGGCAGCATGCGGTAGCCAAGTGTTCCGTTTTAAATCGCGCAGGGTGATGGGTTACCCAAAAGCTGAGGACTGAGGAGGGACGTTGAAGACACCACGCGATAGCAACTCCAATCTAAGGCATGCTCCAACGTCACTAGTTGGTGCCTATCTTTGAGACAGAATGGTGTCACAGAGACCTACTGCGCTGTTTTGGATGTATTGGACTTGGCTCAGTAACAATCAGCCGATCCCAGCGACCTCCAGCTGGCAGAACCAGCAACAATACGGTCTCAGTTGGAACACCACGGTCTCAATTCAGACATACGCATTCCGCAGCATCCGCTCCAAGTGTAGACATCCACTCCGCAACAATGTCGCCTCTAAATCCACTCACCAACAATAAAACATATACGCTTCAAGAATTCTCTAATTGAAAAACGTACCGTCAACTTAGCCAGAAGTAGAACATTGGATAAATGGCATTGCGAAGTTTAGATCAGAAAGTAAGAAAAATGCGACGGTATTTGCGATAACAGCCGAACAAATCCCGAACGTATCGATAATTAGGGCTGACCATACCTTTTGCACCATACCCCACCCCCCGTCCATACCTCTTGGACCAACAATATCGACTCGCCCGGCCGGTGGCACGCGTCCCTATGTTTCATCTGACCCGTTGCGGGTGCCGCCTGCCGGCGGTTCCTTTTCACCCGGCGCACGGCGGCCGGCACAGTCTGACCCAGTTCGCCGCTGAGCCGTGCCCTCTGCTCAGTCGGCGGCGGCTGCTGTCTCACCACACTCCATCCGCAGGAAGCTGATGACACGCGCGTTGTTCTGCGCCAGGTACTCTCGCACGGTGAGGTCCGGCTCGACGAGGAACTCCTGGTCGAGCAGGCGCGTCTCAGCGCGGCCGTCGCTGTCACTGCCGCTGCCGGCCGGCGCGTCCTCTGGCGGCCGGTCGGTGCTGCTCTCCGGCGCCGGCTCGCCCAGAGTGCTCGGCGCCATGCCGACTATGTGCTGACACAGGTTGCGGCCGAACTGGCGCGGGGTTAGCACATCCTTTCCTGAGTCGAACATCTCAAACAGCACGACGGCCGCGTAGCGCCCGGCGTGCGAGCCGCTGCGGTCCGAGCTGTGGCCCGGGTGGACGTACGAGGCCATGTGGGTGGCGGGTCCGGCGCGCACCAGGGCCGCCCGGCCCAGCGTCACGTTTTCGCCCAGCTGCCCGATGGCCAGCGCCACCCGGTCGGGCAGCGGCCGGCCGTCGCTGGCCACCACGCGGCCCAGCTCTGTTGGCGTGACGGTGTCATCCGGCTGGGCGTCGGCCAGCGACAGGCAGCCGGCCGCCGCCTCGCGCACCAGGTCGTCGAACACGGCGTTGCGAGCCACGAAGTCGGTCTCGCAGTTGAGTTCCACCATGGCGGCCGAGCGGCCGAGCGCCGCCACGCACACCAGGCCCTGTGGCGTGGCGCGCGCGCCGAGTTTGTTGGCGCGCGCCCAGCCCTCCGCCTGCGCCTGTGCGCGCAGCCACGCCTCGGCCTTCTCCAAGTCGTAGTCGTGCTGCTGCAGCGCCTTCTTGCAGTTGACGAACGAGTAGCCGGTGAGCTTACGCAGCTTAGCCAGCTTGGCCTTGTCGCCGCCAGCGGCAGCGGCGGCCTGCAGCGGGAGCTGGCTGGTGGAGAGCCGGCGGCCGGCGGCGGCGCCCACTACTCCCCGCAGCAGCAGCATGGCGGGGCACTGGAGCACACGGGGCGCTGCAGCAAAACAGAGTACACAGGTCAGGACAGCCGGTAGCTCTGTGAACAGTAAAATGTGGTGGGCCTTTCCTCATGTCCAAGTGCTGTCTGTGGTCTGTGGTCAGCTAGACAGACCTAAAATGATCTTCAAAATTATTAACCCGCGACCCGTTGGGGGGGGGGGGCAAAGGGCCCTCCTATGGTTTTTCGCAGATAACTCATAAACGGGTGCGAATTTCGACTTAAAACTTTCAGTACCTCTCCGGACATCAATTTTACACACCTGAAAAAATCAGGTCCCAGGTCATCTCAGGTCACGAGCTATAGGGGTCAAACTGAGGTCAAACTGAGGTATAAAGGCAAACAAAATGGCTATCTTGAAATTTCCAAAATATGGAAATCCCTAGATCTAGGAATTTTCATCTCAAAATTTAGATTTCTTGAGATATTTTGATATTTGGGAAATTAAAAAAAAAAACGGAATATGTGTCAGAGAACACCTTACGGGCCTTACACATGCCAAAAATTAACAAAATATCTCTTAAACTGCCAGAGATACAGCCATTTGAATGACTGAAAAGTAGCGACTGTTCTTATGACGTCACAATATTGTCGGTACTTGTGCTTGAAATCAGTCAGGAGTAATATTTATGATACTTATCTACCTCATCCTGACTGAATATTATCCTTAACGTGAGTAAAGTCACTTTAACGTTTAAAGAAAAAAATGTTTTTCGTTGTAAGAGCCGGTACAATTTGAACTTATTTGAACTTCCTGTGACGTCTGAGGTCCAAGAAAAATTATCAAGGAGGTTGCTGTGGTTGCATTTATATGAAATGTCTTCATAAATACTCGAATATTCACAATTTAGCACGCCTTTCCTTATATTTCTGATTGGTCGAGAGGCTGACCTCTGTTGTGATGTCACAGGTCATCATCAACTCAGGTGACTATCCACATGCCAGGGCCGTGTTCGGGTCCGCGCAAAATATTTTGCAGAGAGTGAAGTCACACATGCGATGACGTCAGTCACCTGGCTCCGCCCCTCTCAACCGGCCCGCAAAGCCGAGGGCCACGCGACATGTGGCGAACCGTGGCGCGGATTGACTGGTGGGTTAAGCGGCCCGGCCCGGCCCGGCCTGTAATGCTTTTGAGAGGCTTATATCTCAGCAACCGCTGGACCGATTGGCCTGCGGTCTTTTTTGCTGGGTAGCCCCATTCCTTCTACCCCGTAATTGACTACTTTTGATACATCTCGGTGACCGTCCAAGCACGAGCCACGTGAAAAGTCAAGGGTGTCCAAGCCGTTTTGCAAAAGTAGTGATTTTGAGAGGCTCATACCTCAGCAGCCGCTTGGGCGATTGTCTTGCGGTACCTAATTTTTGTAGTGACCTGACCTGACCTCGCGGTGACCTTGACGCGCACCCTAATGCATGGGAGCAATATCATATTCCATGTTTGAACGCTTGAAACCACGAAAAGACTGCAAACGCGCAGCTAATGCGAGCCGACATATGCCGAATCGCGATTCCGGCCAAATATGGTCTCGAAAAGAAGTCACAGGTCAAAGGTCATTACGGTCAGGGTCATGACATTTTCAGAGAAGGTGTAAAATTGACTCACGCGAAGGGTGAAAATTTCGTCGCGGTCAGACGCTTTTACGTGAGTTATTCGTGAAAAACCGGGGGTCCCTTCGCCCCCCTGTATGGTACTAATGTTTACTAATCTCCAAAGCCACAGCATCGGCGAATCGATTTCTGCTTTCTTTTTGCAAAATGAAAAATGCGAAACGACAATGGTTTTTTTTTTAATAATTTAACTGGTAAAACATTCAGAATTTTTATAACCTAGGATGATATTATTATGCTGATGTTCGGCAAAATCGTAAATTAACTTTTGATTTGAAGTTTCGTAGAGAAGCTCCGATTTCACACGATTCAAATATAGTGATAGTTGAGGAATATGGTGGGTTTTAACGTAAAAATAGTACAAAAAGTAGGTGAACTCCCAATTTTAACATTAAATTACTCGTGACTCAGACCGAATTTCGAAAATCTGATTTCATTTTCGTAAAGTGGAGTGCTGATTGATTCTACCAAATATCAAATTTTGTATTTTAGCTGACTATTTACCTTTTAACCCACGCCCCGTTGGGCTCTGCCGAGCAACGCGCCCCGTTGGGGGGGGGGGGCATTTTGCCCCCCCTAAGATCTCGAGAACCACGCAACCTAGCGACAAGCGACAAACGGTGTTGGATAGCCCTATCAGGGAACTACCTTGTGACCCAATTTTTTTTACCTAGGTCAAACCGATGACGTCACAGGTCAGGTCAAAGGTCCAATTTTCACCGTTTACAGGCATTTCAAGAAATGCGTTGTAAAATCGAGTAAAATGCATTTCATTGAAAATCATTGATGGGGAAATGTTCTTCAAACACATATTTTGCTATTTGAGGTCACTGATACCAGGTCAGGACACAGAGGTCAGGTCACGGGGGGGGTCACAATATGAAAGTGTCGTGTGATACATGTTTTATGGTCCATTTTACATGACAAATGCGATTATGTGGGTCAGGATGTCCGTCAAGACAGCCCATATTCAACCCAGATTCAACCCGGATTCAGCCCAGATTCGGGACACCTCCGATCAAGCTGAAACTCGCACACAATGTAGGCCATGACTTGTCCAATCCACAGTCCAAGTCATTCGGCGGCACTCCCAGCCGTTTGACCTACAGACGTCAGCAAAGGTCACGTGGCCCAAATTTGCACAGCAGATTGTGGCCCACCCAGAAGAGCTAGAGCGCTAAAAATGGCACCAATCGACTCGCCAGCATCTAATCTTACTTTCCCAACACTCATTTGACCTCTCAAGGTCATGCGATGACCTAAGGTCATTTGTGGGCTATGTCGAAAATACACTTGCACAGCAGTTTTCGAGTAGATGGATTGACCGAATTCCAAATCAAAGCACATCATCGGGTAGCCCATAGGCCGTAGTAACTTTCCTTGAAAACCGTTTTTCGATATGTGACCCCGTTTGACCTCGGCAGGTCAAAATGTGCAAATAAACGAGACTCAATACGTCGCAGCCCGGATTCAGCCCAGATTCGGAACACCTCCCATCAAGCTGAAACTCGCACACAATGTAGGCCATGACATGTCCAATCCACAGTCCAAGTCATTCGGTGGCACTCCCAGCCGTTTGACCTACAGAGGTCAGCAAAGGTCACGTGGCCCAAATTTGCACAGCAGATTGTGGCCCACCCAGTAGAGCTAGAGCGCTAAAAATGGCACCAATCGACTCGCCAGCATCTAATCTTACTTTCCCAACACTCATTTGACCTCTCAAGGTCATGCGATGACCTAAGGTCATTTGTGGGCTATGTCGAAAATACACTTGCACAGCAGTTTTCGAGTAGATGGATTGACCGAATTCCAAATCAAAGCACATCATCGGGTAGCCCATAGGCCGTAGTAACTTTCCTTGAAAACCGCTTTTCGATATGTGACCCCGTTTGACCTCGGCAGGTCAAAATGTGCAAATAAACGACACTCAATACGTCGCAGCCCGGATTCAGCCCAGATTCGGGACACCTCCGTTCAAGCTGAAACTCGCACACAATGTAGGCCATGACATGTCCAATCCACAGTCCAAGTCATTCGGTGGCACTCCCAGCCGTTTGACCTACAGAGGTCAGCAAAGGTCACGTGGCCCAAATTTGCACAGCAGATTGTGGCCCACCCAGAAGAGCTAGAGCGCTAAAAATGGCACCAATCGACTCGCCAGCATCTAATCTTACTTTCCCAACACTCATTTGACCTCTCAAGGTCATGCGATGACCTAAGGTCATTTGTGGGCTATGTCGAAAATACACTGGCACAGCAGTTCTTTTCACATTGTGTACGAGTTTCAGCTTGATCGGAGGTGTCCCGAATCTGGGCTGAATCCGGGCTGAATCTGGGCTGAATATGGGCTGTCTTGACGGACATTGGGTCAGGCAGCCTTTGGGGCCAGCTTAGGTCATGTTTTGCCTTTTGGTCAAGGTCAGGTCAAGGTCAGGTCAAATTAGGTCAAATTACAAAGTTAATATTTTTGCATAAAATGGGTATCGAATCCAGTTAATTTCATACCTTTTATGACTTAAACATTTTTCTGTATCTCTAAAGCTGTAGGCCTGACAGCTCTTCCCGTGAAACCTTTTTTTGGGTCGAAAATGGCAGAAATGACGTCACTCCGACGTCATTAGCGGCCAGCCTATCACAGCCTTTGGAAAAAAATTGGTCACAATGTACAAAAGCTATTCACAAGAGGGTACTGAATGTTTGGTGACGATTGGCGCAGCTGTTCTGGAGATGTATCAAAAATAATAAAGGGGGCAAAAAATGCCCCCCCCCCCCACCTGGAGAGTTAAGGTGTGTTTCAGCCCAAATGAATATATAGATAAATACAAACTATATTTGCATGAAACTAAACCAAATAAATAAAAAAGCAAGCAGGTAGTCAAAGGAAAGAACAGAGAAATCTGAAATTTTCTCATTTGGAAATTGATTAGGTTTGACTTTGGCTACATGCAATCAAAGCATGTGGCAACTGGCAAGGTACCTCACGAGTCACTTAGCTTAGTTAGATTTTGTTATCTTTAGAAAATGTAAAAAAAAATCTTAAAAAGTACTGAACTCTGAAGTGATTTCATATATCCCCCTTTCTTGTGCTTCATGAGGATCATTATGTAGTGGCACAATTTTGATTTTGGATGCCCAAAATGCCTCATTAAGTTCAATGCCATGTTTCTTTTTTAGGCTGGCAGGAGAAACTTTCATGTATTGTATAACCATATGAAACTGTGCGCTCAAACCTCACGTAACCAAACCTGAAACCTACCAATCACACACTTATTGTCTACTTAAAACCCGGGTACCATGGCTGCTTCACAATATAAAACCAGCTTACATGGTACACCTACCTCAGGCAAAAGCAAGGCAAAAGGTGACAGACACCTTATAAAAAAAAACATTAACAATAACCGAGTTTACATAGGGATTGTTGTAAGCTTACAGCTCCGCCCATTGCCATGATGTTGCAATAGATGCCAATGGTGCTTTACAATGTACGAATTGATGCCTTCTGCATATGTCTTAAGGTGAAGGTGAATAAAATCCTCGTGCATCAGATGTAAAGAAAAATAATGGCCCAAAAACCTTATTTGTCTTGTACAAGTAACCCAATTTTACCTGGCCTGAAGCAAAAAAAAAAATAGAATACCATGATACTGACACCAGGCACCCCATCTTGATCTGTAGTGTTTCAGTTGAAAAAGATGCATGATGCTTCATATATCTACTCACAATGCAGTTGAAAATCGTCTGAACTTGAAGTGCTTGAAAAACAGTGAAATCGGTTCACACGAATTTACCGGTGTGAATCAAAGTTCAAACCGTTCAAACCAAGAATAAAAATGCATTGGAATTATTTCGTCCAGATTTCTCCTGTTTCTCCTCCTTATTTTCGTCACAAGAGCGCACGGTTTAGAAAGCTGCCAATTTCAAAGGCTACCATATTACATCTGTCATGGACAACACTATTCGACCGCCACCCTTGCAGCCATTCTATAACTCAGGAACTACGGGACCGATCGGAACGAACGAAACACCATTCGAATCAGGGGGTACGATTTTATCAGCCGTTTCGAAGCTCGTGACCCCAGGTGACCTCGGTGACCTCAAGAGGTCAACTCGGCATTGACGCCTATTGCAGCCATTCTATAACTCAGGAACTACTGGGCCGATCGCAACGAAAACACCACCAGTCGAATCAGCGTATGTGATTTCATCAGCCGTTTCGAATATGGTGACCTCAGGTGACCTAGGTGACCTCAAAAGGTCAACTTAACGTTTTCGCCTATTGCAGCCATTCTATAACTCAGGAACTACTGGGCTGATCGCGACGAAAACACCACCAGTCGATTCAGCGTATGCGATTTCATCAGCCGTTTCGAATATGGTGACCTCAGGTGACCTCGGTGACCTTAAAAGGTCAACTTAACGTTTTCGCCTATTGCAGCCATTCTATAACTCAGGAACTACTGGCCCGATCGCGACGAAAACACCACCAGTCGATTCAACGTATGCGATTTCATTAGCCGTTTCGAATATGGTCACCTCAGGTGACCTCGGTGACCTTGGGAGGTCACATGACCGTTGTGGCCTATGGCAGCCATTCTATAATTCAGGAACTACTGGGCGGATCGCGACGAAAACACCACCAGTCGATTCAGCGTATGCGATTTCTTCAGCCGTTTCGAATATGGTGACCTCAGGTGACCTCGGTGACCTTGGGAGGTCACATGACCGTTGTGGCCTATGGCAGCCATTCTATAACTCAGGAATTACTGGGCCGATCGCGACGAAAACACCACCAGTCGATTCAGCGTATGCGATTTCATCAGCCGTTTCGAATATGGTGACCTCAGGTGACCTCGGTGACTTTGGGAGGTCACATGACCGTTGTGGCCTATGGCAGCCATTCTATAACTCAGGAACTACTGGCCCGATCGCGACGAAAACACCATCAGTCGATTCAGCGTATGCGATTTTATCAGCCGTTTCGAATATGGTGACCTCAGGTGACCTCGGTGACCTTGGGAGGTCACATGACCAATGTGGCCTATGGCAGCCATTCTATGTGACCTCCCAAGGTCACCGAGGTCACCTGAGGTCACCATATTCCAAACGGCTGATGAAATCGCATACGCTGATTCGATTGGTGGTGTTTTCGTCACGATCGGCCCAGTAGTTCCTGAGTTATAGAATGGCTGCCATAGGCCACAACGGTCATGTGACCTCCCAAGGTCACCGAGGTCACCTGAGGTCACCATATTCGAAACGGCTGATGAAATCGCATACGCTGAAGCCACTGGTGGTGTTTTCGTCGCGATCGGCCCAGTAGTTCCTGAGTTATAGAATGGCTGCAATAGGTGTCAATGCCGAGTTGACCTCTTGAGGTCACCGAGCTCACCTGGGGTCACGAGCTTCGAAACGGCTGATAAAATCGTACCCTCTGATTCGAATGGCGTTTCGTTCGTTCCGATCGGTCCAGTAGTTCCTGAGTTATAGAATGGCTGCCATAGGCCACAACGGTCATGTGACCTCCCAAGGTCACCGAGGTCACCTGAGGTCACCATATTCGAAACGGCTGATGAAATCGCATACGCTGAATCGATTGGTGGTGTTTTCGTCGCGATCGGCCCAGTAGTTCCTGAGTTATAGAATGGCTGCAATAGGCGAAAACGTTAAGTTGACCTTTTAAGGTCACCGAGGTCACCTGAGGTCACCATATTCGAAACGGCTGATGAAATCGCATACGCTGAATCGACTGGTGGTGTTTTCGTCGCGATCAGCCCAGTAGTTCCTGAGTTATAGAATGGCTGCAATAGGCGAAAACGTTAAGTTGACCTTTTGAGGTCACCGAGGTCACCTGAGGTCACCATATTCGAAACGGCTGATGAAATCACATACGCTGATTCGACTGGTGGTGTTTTCGTTGCGATCGGCCCAGTAGTTCCTGAGTTATAGAATGGCTGCAATAGGCGTCAATGCCGAGTTGACCTCTTGAGGTCACCGAGGTCACCTGGGGTCACGAGCTTCGAAACGGCTGATAAAATCGTACCCCCTGATTCGAATGGTGTTTCGTTCGTTCCGATCGGTCCCGTAGTTCCTGAGTTATAGAATGGCTGCAAGGGTGGCGGTCGAATAGTGTTGTCCTCTGTCATTGGGGGTGAGACTAAATGCTTACTTCGAAATCTAAGCTGCGTTGCGGCATTGGCGGTTATGTGCGGCGTGTGTGCCGCATGATTAGTAAGCGGCGACCACTAAATGAAAAGCTCAATAGCTTTAACCTGTTTTCAATGGATAACACTGCATACGAAAAATGTCCATCGCTCTCGTCATAGGATATTTAGATTTAAATAACTAACTTATCTATATCATTGTTTTGAACCAAATTAATACTTTCAACTTGACCCTCGCCCGTATTGGTGTTTTTCCAGCCACAATCGCCACGCCGATTGTGGATTGCTCTTGATCGTCAATACATACATACATACATACAACGCAAAAGGTTTCGCCGTTTGCCGTTTCGCTCCTGATCAAGCTAGAGCTTCGCGGAAAAAACGAGCGTGTTGCCAGTGACGAGAGGAAGCCGATGATATCCAATTTTAAGGTCCTAGGTCATCGGTTGACCTTTCAGGTCAGGTCATTGACCCAAAAGGCGGGAAAGTTGGGACCTGTTAGAACGTCGTAGTGTGGCTGCTATGGGGTTTTTCGGGGTGCTGATCACGAATATCATGCTAGTTTTGATCACAGATGATGTCTTCATTCATTTAGGCCAGGTCGGGTTAGGTCAGGTCAGGTCAACCAGTAGAGGTCCTGCCGGGTATTTGTAGTACCTAGGTGTCAACCGCCTCTGACAGCCTCGTAACATGTTACGAAGGCACCAAAACTACTTTGTAAACGTTCATGTGGTTGCTTAATTCGAATTCAGCTCGAAAAACTGGCCTAGAAACATGTCAAACTCGAAAAAGTGAACCGAGGTCACCAAAGGTCAATGACCTGACCTTCAGGTGACCTTGACACCCACCCTAATGCATGGGGGCAACATCATATCACATGTTTGAACGCTTGAAACCACGAAAAGACTGCAAACGCGCTGCTAATGCGAGCCGACATACGCTGAATCGCGGATCCGGCCAAACATGGTCTCGAAAAGTAGGTCACATGTCAAAGGTTATTTGCGTCAGGGTCATGAAATTTTCAGGGTAGGTGTAAAATTGATCAACGCGAGGGTACTAAAAGTTACGTCGTGATCGGCCGCTTTTTACGCGAGTTATTCGCGAAAAACCGAAGGGAGTCCGTTCGACCCCCCCCCCCCCTAAAGGGCGAGGGTTAACTCACAGTCCGAACTCCGGACAAGTTCAGTCTTGTTTGTGAATTTGTCGGAGCATCACCTAAATCTAGTGGAGAGATGATGGAGGGAAACTAGGGGAGGGAGTCGGTGACGGTCAGGGGCACTACAAGCAGAGCAGTCATAAGCTGGTGACAGGGCTGATGTACCATGTTTTGATAGCATGACTGAAACAGACTTTTTGGGTTGCCAGGAAATCGCATGTGAGAGCCTATTGAAATTCTTACATCGGCCTTTGTATGCACCAGTCGTATACAGGTGCGGGATTTGGCATACGATTTCCAGACAATCGAAAGACTGTTTGGAGCCAACGAAGGAAGGAATGAGTGAGTACTAAGTTGAAAGCATTAATTTGGTTCAAAATGATGATGCAGATAACTTAGTTATTTAAATCTAAATATCTTATGACGAGAGCGATTGGCATTTTTGGTATGCAGTGTTATTCATTGAAAACAGGTTGGAGCGTTTAAGTTTTTAATTTAGTGGTCGCCGCTTACTAATCATGCGGCATACACGCCGCCCATAACCGCCAATGCCGCAACACAGCTTAGATTTTGAAGTAAGCATTTAGTCTCACCCGTCATTGGTCGGTCAAACTCATAGATATACAGACTGTATATCTGCATATTTACGTCTGGACAACGAGTTGCGTTGGAGAGGCCGGAAATAGTGGCATCTATGGTCAAACTACATATATAGGGGAGAGTGGGGTAATTTGGCCGGTGGTGTAAATTGGCCGCCCCCACCTGTACGATGTCTTATAAAAGTGAGTCAAATAACTCTAGTCTCTATTCATTTGTCATGGGTAGAAATAACTGGAGGACAAATGTCAAAACTTTGCCCCTCGTAGTTTTATTCAAAATAAATAAAACGTTAATTTCATTAGAAAATGGTAACTTTTACTTCTGTTTACAAAGTTGTATAACATGTAGTATTTGGGCTAAAAACGAATTCAGACATTATAGCGCCATTCTTGGGGGTGTTCAGCGGTTCCAAGAGCAATTTTATCTAATTCCGTAAGGCCGTGATGACTTTATAGACATAAATTTTCAGAATGGCAATATGGGGTAATTTGGCCGGGACTAGTGGGGCAACTTGGCCGGTGCGCTCATGGTCACTATGCTGGGACGGCCGAGTTTTCATGGTCAATTGTACCATAAATGACATGATTCATGACCAACTTTGACTACTTTGATGCCTTACTTCCGATTGGTCAACTGTAAGAGCATGTGACAGTGGCGGCGCCACGAATTTTCGCCAGTGGGGGCAAGCTTCAGGTGACCCGACTGTTGTCTGATAACCCGATCTGCAAACTCCATGAGCTCCTCGCCCCTAGATGTTGCCAATTAGAAATTATCATGGTTTCAGGTTTCATGCATACCTATTGAGCTTAAAGGTAGACTGCCACCTTTTTCCCACAAAACGGTTTTCACTAGAGCTGAGCCACCTATGTCCCAGACTGAAGTCGGTTTTCCGAAATTCGAACCCGTTTGCGAGAAATCGGAGACCAAAGTTCAGTTTGATGCCATTTTTTTAGTCCAAGAAAACCGACATCTCTACTGTTTATCGATAACTTTGAAACATTAATTTTCTTATCTTTTGGTAAATATATGTCAAAACTTTGATTGTTTCGAGATCAG